GTTGTCAAGATTTCCCTCCCTGGGTGGGGGGGGCGGGGGGGAATAACTGAACCACATTTTTAAAAAAAAGACAGAAAGACAATCCAGTAGTCTGATGACCACCATTACTTGTTCAATATTTATTTAACTAAAGTTAAATTCACCTTGCTGTGGTCAGATTTGAAAACACATGTCTGCAACATTAATTCAGGCCTCTAGAATACTAGTTCAATAGCATAACAACTACATTACTGTGTTCTAATCTTGTTGGAATTGAAGCTAGAAGCTTAATGTCAGTTACGCATTACCAAATGCAAAGAAAAGCTCTCCCTCAGCAAATAACATATGTCACATTTTTTGGAAAGTTTAGTCATCATTAATTTATTCAGTAATACATTGCATCACATAACTGTTTCACAGTTGAAAAAATGAATGATAATGTGTATACAAGTGATCTGCAAGGACTATATTATTTGACAAAAAATTTTGGACCATAATTTAAAACCCAATTTAAGCTTTATTATAAATAGATGAAATCGGACAATAATTGTTAACAGTGCTAAATTGACACTTATTTGCAGTAAGTGCAAGAGAACAACTTTAAAAAATGCAAAATATTTTCTTTGCAACAAATCACTTAAAATTCTGAACTGATTAAAGAGCTGATACAGCACCTAAATACTCGGAAACGTTTACTGTGATACTCTGAAATGACAATCATTCCCACCCAGAAATATCTAGAATTTGAATACAACTCTATCGCTATTTTCTTAAATATAGATTTCCAGTAGCACTGAAACAGAATGATCTTAAAATATTTCCATTTAGGCATCTATTCCTAAATCAGTCCTCCATACTAACCTTCCAGCATGTTTGCCTTGCCTTCCACAGCCAACCACAAATTTTCCCTTTGTAACACGGTTGGTAACATGGGTCAAACTAATGTTCCTCCTTTTCCTGATGGACCTCTCATCAGTCTGTCCTGTTTGGAAGCTTGCTAAAGTTAATCAACTCACCACGAGAGAATGAAAACCAACTAATGTTGAAATTCAAATTCACTTCTTGTAATCCACTAAAGAAGAATTAGCATGGTTATCTACAAGTTCCATTTATTGTCAAAACCTTTAAATGGGCTATAATCTGGAAAGTATTAACACATTTCTGAAAATATTGACATTTCACAGTTTTAAGAAAACTGAGCAACAATTAGAGCTAAGCCTTTTAAGGTTCCATCAGATACCATCCATTGCTAGACTGCATTGACAAGCACAACAGGCTACATAAGAGCATTATATTGCTTATATATGCACTGAAAATTGCAATTTTACTTTTAATATCTTATTATTTGAATTTTAGAGCAACTATGTTTTTCCTTTGAGCAGGAATGGCAGTGGCATTAAGAGAAACTTCTGAAAGAAAAACCCAGCATATTCCATTAAATATGGAGGCACTTTTAGAGGAATCAAAAATAACCAGGTGCAATATCAGTGCAAGGAGGATGAGCAAAATTTCTTTCTCCACAGAATAAAACAATATGTTCAAATAGAATTTATCCTTGGTTTTCATAATGTTGAACAGAATTTAGCTAATGTGAACAATACATTTGCATTTCTGACAGATTACAGGTTCTCCAGTGCCATGACTTTCTTGAAAAGTCATGATTTTCAGCACTACTTCCCAAAACTAGGCTCAGGTTCATGTGACAGCTTATGGAGAAGCTTATTTCTACATAATTTTTTGTTTTATACAAGATGGACTATTAGTTGGGAAAAAGAAAAAGTCACTGTGCAATAGTTTGACACATGGCACGTTCTGTAAATGTTATCAGCAATTCTCAAAAATGGTTGCTTTTTTGAAATGGAATACCAATTATAGAAGCATCAACAGAAACTACTGCCTTGCCAACCTTTGCTTTTAACTAAATTTACATCTCAAATTGTGACCAGATGTTCTCCGTTAACAGGAAGTTTTCAATTATATTATGCAGCTCAGCTCCTGAATGCAGACTCTGAATCACGTATATTCACAATAGGGATTTTCATTGTTGAAGAGGGAGAGCTATTTCCAGTTTTCCAAAATGCCGCATTGCTTGGGTTATCTGTTGGTGAGCTAGGAAAAACCCATGAGTCATCATCAAATGAGCCCTTTCCATAAGAATCAATTTCCTCCAAACCAGCACTGGGTCTCGTATTTGTCCATGGCGCAAGGAACTCGCGATCACATAATGGTGCAGTATCTTGCTGAAAATGGTGATTTGCAGTAAAGTGGGAAATTTTCATGTCAGTATGCTTTGAAGAGGAACATGGTGCTTGATAAACTGCTCCAGAAGAATTGAGCTCCAGTTTTCCACAGTCAAGTACCAAGTCATCGAGACACTGAACTGTATGCAAAAAATCATAGAAAAACAAAGTACATTATCATTGTGATCTGTAATTCAAACCCCATCTTTAAGAGTATGAGTTGGCTATTTATCTGAGAGATATAAGCAGACTTCTGGAATACAGCTGTGCGCAAGTAAAAACAGGATTTTATCTTCACTTGGTGGGATACAATCATGTCAGATAACCTGTTATGAATATGCCCTTTCTATATTTTTCCCCAGACCAGGAGCCATCTTAATCAAATATTCCCCATTCCTATGTACAATACCAGGAGAGGTATAAAAGAGAGGTTGAAAGTAAAAGATTCGAACAGAACAAAAGAATAAAGCACAATTTCTTTAGATCGTTCCTTGGTGTGATCCTATCCTAAATCCAATTCATTTTCTAAACTGAAATCAGAAGTTCACCTTACTGGATGTAAAAATCAACAGCATTTGAATGGAGAACTAATACAGCAAACTGGATCATAAAAATAAACTGTTCAGTTTAGAAACCATGCAATATTAGTAGACAATGCAACACTCCACTTTTAAATACAGTATCACCATTGATTGAAACTAATAAGCAGTTGCATTACAGGGCAGATAGCCAAAGGTTTTGGTCAAAGAGGCAGATTTTAAAGTTGCTAAAAGAGCAGAGAGAAAGGTAGCAGGAACTGCAGATGCTGGAGAATCTGAGATAACAAGGTGCAGAGCTGGATGAACACATGAAAATTTTCTGAAGGGTCTAGGCCCGAAACGTCAGCCTTCCTGCTCCTCTGATGCTGTTTGGCCTGCTGTGTTCATCCAGCTCTGCACCTTGTCATCTCAGAGAGAAAGGTAGGTGAGGTTTAAGGAGAGCATCCCAAAGATAAGCATCTCAGCAGCTGAAAGCATGGCCCTCAGTGCTGGAGAAACTAAGTTCAGGCTATACAAGAGAACAGAACTGGAGGAATGCAAAGACCTTGGATATTTGGGTGCTCAAGAAGGTGAGGCCTTGATGGGATTTGAAAGCAAGGGACAGAATTTTAATATTGAGGGTGATGCTCAAACAGTCCCAATGCAGATTAAGAATAATGAGATGGTAGATGAACTGGACTAGTTAGAATGTGCACAGCAGAATTTTCAGTAAGCTGAAGTGTAGCTAGCACAGAAGATGGACAGCTCTCCAGTAAAGTATTAGAATAGTCAAGTCTAGAGGTTAGAAAGGATAAATAAGGGATAAAATCATGCAATGCTAGAGACAGAAGCTAGTGGTTTTGATGATGATGCCAGTGATACAGACTTTTGCCAAAAATCTACTGACCATAACAAATACGACAAACATACTGCCAAACAAAACATTGACGGCTTGGTGCATGCAAGATGAAAACCAGGGATTAAACATCGACAAGAAAGTGAAACGTGGCTCAGATCCAGTCCTGCATATTATTACAATCCCAGACCAGACTGCTAAATTTACATTACAATCTGGCTAAGACCAGTAACTATTATTTTTGAAGGAGATACCATGTAAGATCCAAGTAGCTTGCTAAAAGAATAAGGCCACAAAATTCTACAGTTCCACAATTGAACAATACAACGTTACTAAACAATATTACAACAATAAAACTGTTTGCAATACGTGTAGAACACATTTCTAACATTTAGCAAAGATCTGTAGCTTGGGTTGTGGTTGGTTCGCTGAGCTGACTGGTTTTCATGCAAACGTTTCGTCTCCCTTCTATGTGACACCTTTAGTGCTATCCAGCCTCTTAAAACTCTGTTGTTCTGTCCTCTCTGAATTTATATTGTCTGGTCTGTCATGGTGGGTAATCCTGTTTCTGGTTTTGCACCGTATGGTATGTAGATGTGGTCTATTTCAATATGTTTGTTTATCATACTGGTGATTGAAAACACTAGCAAAGACGACACTGGCCACATTACTAGACAATCCGAAAACACAAACCTCCAAATGAAACCATCAGCAAGGACAACATGCTAAAATTACTTGACCTATGCCTTACCATGCACTTAGTCTTCAACAGCCAGGTATATGAACAAATTAATGGGACAGCCATTGGTTCACCATCTCGGCTCTCATAGCGGAAGCTGCAACACCCCGGAGCTGTGCAAAAACGAGGAACACCTATACAGAGTCTTTACAAACAATGGGTATCCCAACAGCTTCATTCACCAATGCCTGGCAAATAAACAAACAACACCATCGAGACACTGTACACCCCAACACACTGGCCACTCCACCATATATTAGAAACACATCAGAACTGAATACAAGACTCCAGCGACCTCTTGGGATAATGATAGCACACAAACCAACAGATGCACGTCGCCAGCTACTCTCAAAGACGAAAGACACCATACCCACAATGAGCAGCACAAATGTGATATACAAAATACCATGCAGCAACTGCAAGAAACACTACATAGGACAGATGGGCAGAAAACTCGCTACCAGGATACATGAACAGCAACTCACAGCAGAATGGCACGACCAACTCTCCCTCCCTGCAAAACCGGAAATAGGACTACCCACCATGACAGACCAGACCATATAATTTCAGAGAGGGACAGAACAGTGTTTCAACTGAGGCTAGACAGCAAAGAGGTCACCTAGAAGGGAGACAAAATGTTTGCATGGAAACCAGTCAGCTCAACAGACCAACCAACAACTCCACAGTTCTAACAGCCAGAATTAACATTTTGTAAGTATGGGTAATAGACTGATTCATCATCCCACAGAACAGATCAAATGATACATGCAATCAAGACAAATCACATGGATTTCTCAGCAACTAATCTCTCAGCTGCAAGCCACACGCCACACACACACGGACTCAGTAGCCATGAAATCTCACCAAGCTTAATTTTGTCAATCTGATCTTGAAACGCCCTGTCAAAAATCATGTCATACACTGCCTCAAAGCCTACTGCTGTTTTTCTTGGGTTCATGCTACCCTACAATCCTTGCACTTCAGTACTCATTCAAACTCCAGCGCTTCCCGATCAGCGAGTGTCAGCAAACCAGCACGACACAGATTTTCTTTAAGCTCCAATCTTGTTCAGTTGCAACTAGTAAACACCACTTGGGAACTTTTCAACTAATATTAGCAATTGTACAGAAGTAATAGTGGTGCATGGCTTCCTTTGAGCACCCAAGCTCCTAAGACTTCCCTAAGCCCTCACCAAAGCTATTCAACTGCTTAGGACTTTCTGGAGTTTTCATCGTACAAAAACCATGTAGTTTGCCAACACAATTAAGTGCAGCACTCCCCAAAATGGAGTCTCTGTCCTTGTTTGCTTTTCCAAATAACTGACAGTTTTATTGCCTGTCCCCTTTGAAATCGTGATCCTCATGATCCTCAAACTATCCTGAGTGACCTATGCCTATTGCTGGACAGAATGGAATACTACTACAGAGCATCTCTTGGAATACTCAGTTCTGAAAATGTTGCCAGTCACAGATTGCTGGTTTGTTCAGTACAAACAAGGGATTTTATTCCTGCATATAACAGAAATAGAATGGTTCTTTGATCAAAAACAGCACCAACATGGAAATAGTCTTAAAAGGACAACACTCTACTTAATCTTCAATCCAGCCCTGAACTAGATGGCATTTTTCATATGAGTTTGTTGTTTCATATCTAAAATCCAATTTGTTACATGAACAAAATAAGTTTTAAAAACTGAAAAATTACTCCATGGACATAACTTGGAGGACGTACCTAAAATAGTATGCATTCTAACGTCAAGTTACACTCAAATTTCCAGTCAATCTCATTAGAACAAAGCGAAACAAACTGACTATGAATTTGTAAATATTGTCCGCCGTAATTGTTTCTGTACTAGCTACATTTCAATGCAACTTCAAGGTCCTACAACAGAGGATTGAAAACAAAAATGTTCTGTCAAAATGAAGCAAGGGAGTACAAGGTAAATAGTTGTTTGCAGCTGTTGGCACAAGATATTGTTGGATCACCCTACTATAGTGCAAGTCAGTGGCAGTTCTGTTCCAGAAGTGTACAGCTATCGTCATGGCCTGATCACAGGCCCATAAACTCATCAGCCCAGATTATTTTGACAATAACCCACATTTCCTGGGAGACAGTTTGCACAGGGAAACATCTGACTGAGGCCAAAGTGCTAATCTAGACATTTGACCCTAGCAGTGTGCTTTAAAGGAATAGTGATTAATGAAGGGGGGAAGCAGTAAGAACTTGGAACATTGGGACTGCTACAGTCATGTTCCACTTGTTAATTTTGATAGGTTATTGATGCAGATGAATTATTTCTTACCTCAAGGAAAATCTTTCTTTAAATTCTCATCTGCAACTTCCACAGTTTACCAAAAAGTTGGAAGTTTCTAAAGTTTAAAGTTTCCAATGATGACAATCATGTTATGATAAATGATGATTTATTGTTATTTGTACTCTACAATGAACAGCACAGTAAAACACAGTGAAACGCTTCAACTGTTGCCACAATCTGGCGCCATTTTGAATAGCTTAAGAACAAAAAGATTCACCTTTGTTCCACTACCCATGGCTCCTTTATTGTTGATTGGAGGTATACAATTATAACAGATCTTTAAAGTTCTAAAGAGTGCCCAATGTTGTAAAGTGCGACTTTTGCACAGTCAATTGTCTCTACTAGATTGTCTTCCAAGAACTGAAGGAGTTCTGACGAATCATACCAGACTTAAAACTTTAACTGTTTCTCTATTTTTGACTGCTAGTCCTGCTGAGTTTCTCCAGCATCTTCTGGGTTTGTTTCATATGTCAACACCCCCAGCATTTTGTCTTTATTGAAGGGAATTATAGGAACTTTGCTTGTGTAATCAGAATGATTTGTCTTTTTAAGAGAAAAAAATAGAAACTTGAAAACGTTAACTGACGTAACTGTTTCAAACAAGAAGCGAGGTTTCTCTTCAAAGTAATATTTTTTCTAAACAAAAGATGTCTAAATAAAAAAATGTATAAAAGATGAATGGTTCTCAGCTATATTAGTGAGACAATGGTACGTATAAAGGGGTAACAGTGGCATATCGGTAATGTTGTTGGCTTAGTAATCCAGTAGCCCAGGCCAATGTTTTGGAACATGAATTCAAATGCCAGCACAGCAGCTGGAGAAATTTAAATTCAATTAATAAATTTGGAATCAAAAACTAGTCTTCGGAATGGTAACTATGACAACTATTATTGATTGTCATAAAATCCATCTAGTTCTAAGTCTATTTAGATGGAAATCTGGATCCACAAGTAGCCTAGCCTAAGTGTAACAATAAGCAAAAACCAAAAAAATGCAGATGCTGAAAATGAATCTTAATCAGATATTACTGGAAAATCTCAGAAGATTATTCTGAAGGGTCACTAGACCCGAAACATTAATTCTGCTTTCTCTCCACAGATGCTGCCAGACCTGCTGAGATTTTCCAGAAATCTCTGATTTTGGCCTACACAACTTCAGTTCCACAGCAATATGGTTAACTTTTAATTGCCCTCTGAAGTGGCTGAGCAAGCCAATGTTGGGCTTGTCAATAATGAACAAATTGCATGAAAGAATGAAAACAAAAATTATACTGCGACAGAAATGTCACAGATTTCAGCAATAAAACTGAAAACAAATCTGAAGAAAGGGCAACCTGTACTTTTATTGAAGGTAATTTACTAACAAAAAAAAAAATTGATAAAAAAAATTTTTTGAATCTTTTAACTGGCAGGCTTGCTTTAAAAAAGAAGAATTTTCTTCCTGTCAGTTGAGAGATTGGACATTAAGGTTGCTACAAAACGGTTTGGGTCACACCTCAGCATTGCTGGCAAAGGGTAGTAGTGTTCTGAACTGTGGAGACGAAGCCACAAGAACAGAAAAAACTACAGAACACATTTGTTTTGTATGAGCAACACCTTTGTGTGTGTGAAGCTGATCAACAAGAGATAGACAGGACTAATGCACAAGGTCAGACAGTAGCTTACGTATTTAGAATTATCATGAGATGTTGACAAGATATATTTGATAGCTGCTCTTTTATTGGTATTGATAGAATCAGTGGTTTAAGGCCGACCATTTCCCCTTCACACTTTACATTACTTACCATTCTTTGTTGAGCTTTGCGTGGCTAACAGTTTTCGCAGAAGCTCAGCTTGTGTCTTTGTCACCAAATGTAAGTTAGACATTTCTCTCTTCAGATCCTGGTATGGTTTCTGCAAACCCACTTCTCTAAAATACAAAAAAAGCTTTCACTGTAACTTTGTCGCAAAAACAAAGCAAATCATGTATGAATAATCTGTTAAAATATATAACTGCTAGATTGAATATCTGTGAAAACATCTTGAGGAATATCTTTCTTAAAAGGATAAACATCAAGATGCAAACATTGGACTTGCCTTTTATTTTAAAAAAAAAGGAATTGTAAAGTAATTTGGTATTGGCACAAACCTACCTAAAGAGAAGAACAAGATAGGATGGAACCCATATTTACTTTTAGAACAGTTATCACATTTTCTCTTAATATGTTGTTTTTAAAATTGAATACACAGTTTTACATTTCATTTTATTTCGTTTTTACATATGGCTATAAAGCTTATTGTTTAATATGATTATCAATTCTTTTTCATTATCAAGCATAAATTTCAGTGGCACAGGAGCCAACTTGTGAAAGTTGTTATTGGGCTCTCTCTTTTGCGAATGTTCAGGGCATGGGGTGCAGAATGAATCAAGTTGTAAGAAACAAACTATACTTATATTGCATCATTAATGCATCAAAAATGTCTAACTAAACACACTGTAAAGAAAATGTAACATTCAGCCAGGTAAGGCAACTGTTTAGTCAAATATACAGGCTTTAAGGAGTTTCTTAAAAGGAGGAAAGAGCTAAAGAGACAGAAATTGTTAGAGGGATTTCCAGACTTTCAGACAGTGCTTCCCAAACTCTTTTCTGCTGTGACCCATTTTAATGCTTCAAACTTAGTGCAAGAGTAAGTGGAAAAATTTAGGGTACAAGGGAACTGTTCAGTGGGTTGGGGATTCAGACAAGTGTACAGGCACAATGAAACAACCAAGACACATCATCTTGAAAGGGCTGTTGGTGTCAGCAGTCAAGCCTCAGAGCCTGTGGGTTAGCCTACCCTACACGCAAAACAAAACCACTTCACAGCTTCCTTGGAGCTGGCAACTCAATTTGTGCAAGCCTGTGAACTGGTTTGGGATCCTATGCCTTAGGGCTTTAATAGCTGAAGGCACAGCCACCAATGGTGGAGTGATTCAAACTGGGAACGTTGAAGGTGTTGGAATTACTGCAGCCCATCTTAGAGAATTACATAGTTATAGGAGATAACAAGAGAAAGGGAGGGGCACGATTACAGGAGGATTGGAAAACAAAATATGATAATTTTTAAAACAGCTTTTTGTCCGAGTGAAGATAGTTCAGTGAGGAGGACAGGGGTGACAGAAAAACAGGACTTGTTTGGATAAAAGGACAGGCAGAGTTTTGAACAAGCTCAAGTTCATGAGGAGTAGAATGTGGGAGGCAGGCCTAATGCATTGGAAGGGTCACAGATTTAAAAAGTTATGTATGATAGCTTTGGCAGTGGAATCAGAAGCAGAGTTGGGCAGTGAAGGAGAGTTGGGCAGTGTAACAGTGGTGAAAATAGATCATCTACATCGCAAAGCACAGATGCATGTTAGAAGTTAATCTAAGGATCAAATATGGTGGCAAGGCTGCAAACAATCTGGTTTAGTCTTAGCTGTAAGGGAGAGACACAGGAATCAATGGCTAAGATATGGAGATTCTGACATGGTCTGAAACAATGGCTTTCATCTTTCTATGTTTAATGGGAGGAAATTTCTGCTCCTTCAATGAATATTCAGCCAGCTTATGAACAGTAGTGAGTAGTAACATTCAGTGTTTAAGTCATATTCCACTCACAAAAGAATCAACTTTAAGAGTTATCCCCTGAATTATTCTCAAGTAACTCATGAGTGACTCATTTATAGGTACACAAAATGGGCTGCAATCTGAGATCATACTCTCAAACTTGGCAGGGGAAAGGGAGTCAGAAATTGAAGAATAAAAAGTGCAACTTCATGGACAATAAAAGATATGCCAATGTCACCAATTCCAGAATAAAGACAGGTTAGAAACATATTACAAAACTAGAACTGTATTTCATTATGCACCTTTACAACTTGCTGGAATATAGTATTGATCGTGTTCCATTGCAGCCATTGCAAACTAGCAGAGGTATGGAAATTCAGTACCAGCTTTAAGCTGACTAGTATCTGTGACAACACCACTACAATCATAAGGTTGGTAAGTCTTTTAACCTTTTTGTAAGACCAGTTGTTTGTCTCTTGTCGAGGGCCGATGGTTAGTTCCTGTCTGCTGGCCTACTGGATCTTAATTACTAACCCCTAGCGGCACATAAATTGCCCAATGCAGGGAGGCAGACTCAAGATTCAATGCTCCAACCTAACTGCAAACTAACTACCTAACTGCCACAGACTAAGGGGATACATGGATGCATCGTTCTAACAACAGCTTTGAAAAATTCCTTCATTACATTGAAAGTGTTTACTTACATCCCAAACTGTGACAGATCATGACCCTGAAGGTGAATAACTTACTTCCTTGTTCAGAGATTTTATCATTAAACTGGAATCCAGGGGTCACTTCATATTGCACTGGATTAGCAGAAACTTCACCGCTTCAAACCACTACTTCCTGCTTGTGGACTCACGGAAGTGATAATAAACGAAAAAGACAAAAGTAATCTGAACTCTGTGATCCAATGCCACAAGATCATACCACACAAATGCTAAATCCATACAACAGAAGAGCTCAAATCCTGAACAAAGATTAATTTGGATAGGAATTTCCAGACAACATAGATGAACTTTTAGAGGCAGGTCATCATGTTTTCACCCACACAGACGAGCATAATAGGTGTAAGTAAGCCAAAAATAAGTAAAAATGTAGTTACACAGTGGTTGATGCCCTGGTAGTAGCTGTGAAGTTTTGCAAGGTGAAAATGTAGATTCAATGGGTGGGTGAGCAGGTGGGTGAGACTGGTGGTGGACTGGTGGAATCTTTGCAGAACAGTGTTTAATGAGCAGATTGCTTGCAACTGCTTTAACAACATGATTTTCATTCTGCAGACAAATACTGCTCTGAAAAATATCAATGATTGGGCCATAGAACATTTTCTCCTGCTTAGAGTCACCTTCAGTCTAACTCATCTGTGCTGATCAGATATCCCAAACTAACTTAGTCCTACTTGCCAGTATCTGGCCCATATCCCTCTTCCTATCCATACACTCATGCCTTTCAAATGTTGCAATTGTACTCCTCTCCACCACTTCCTCTGGCAGCTATTTCCAGAAACATACCACCCTCTGCATGAAAAAGTTACCCCTCAGGTCCTTTTTAAATCTTTCCACTCTCACCTTAAATCTATGCCCTCTAGTTTTGGACTTCCCCAACTTGGCTACTCACACTATCCATGCCCCTCGTGATTTTATAAACCCCTTTAAGGTCACCCCTCAGTCTCTTGACGCTCCAGGGAAAAAAAATGCCCCTGCCTATTCAGCTTCCCAATAGCTCAAACCCTCCACTCCCAGCAATATCCTTCTAAATCTTTTCTGCATCCCTTTAAAGTTTAACATCCTTCCTATAGAAGGGCAATGAGAATTGTACACAGTATTCCAAAAGTGGCCTCACCAGCAAACTGTACAACCACAATAACATCCTCCTATATTCAATGTTCTGACCAATGAAGAAAAGCATGCCAAATGCCTTCTTCACCACCCAGTCTACCTGCAACTCCACTTCCAAGGAACTATGCACCTGCACCCTAGGTCTCTGTTTGACAACACTCCGCAGGGCCCTACCATTTACTGTATAATCCTGCCTTACCAAAATGCAACACCTCACATTTATCTAAGTTAAACTCTATCTGCCACTCCTCGGCCCACTAGCCCATCTGATCAGGGTCCCGTCGTACTCTGAGATAATCTTCTTTACTATCTGCTACACCTATTTTGGCATAATCTGCAAAATTTACAAACCATACCTCCTATCATCACATTCAAGTCACTCAAAAACGACAAAAAGCAGTCAACCCGGCACACTACTGGTCATAGGCCTCCACTCCAAGAAACATCCATCCACCACTACCCTGTATCCTACCTTCAAGTCAATTTTGTATCCAATCAACTAGCTCCCCCTGGATCCCATGTGGTCTAACCTTATTAATCAGTTTACCATGTGGAACCTTGACAAACACTTTACTGAAGTCCACATAGACAATGTCTACCATTCTGCCTTCAATCGTCACTGTCACCTCTTGAAAAATTCTATCACGTTAGAGAGACGTGATTTCCCACACACAAAGCCATGCTACTGACCCTAATCAGTCCTTGCCTTTCCAAATACATGTAAATCCTATTCCTCGGAATCCACTACAAAATCTTATCCACCACTGATGCATGGCTCACGAGTTTACAGGCCCCTGGCTTTTCCTTTTCTAGTTATGTTTTGAAGCAATAAAGTTAATCATTGATGACGTGGGCTCAGACACTAAATGTATTAAAGAACACGCCCTTCTGAAACTTTAGCAAAGTCAAGAACTCCAGTAGCAAATTTCAGCAAACCAACTGTAATCAAGGCACTATACACCAGTCAAGTTTGAATCTTCTGGAAAATGCCAGAAGGGAAAAGCACATCAAGGGTTTTATCCAAAGTTGGCAAGGACACACCTTTTTGAAAAGATGTTTATTCAGTCCAGGGGTCAGAGTCAGGGCAATTGCCTGTGTACTGGAATGTTCCACCTGAATCTAAAATAGATCAGTCTGCAGCTGTTCCATTTGGTCAACAGTAACAGGGTTTCAACCTAAGATTTCTAATCATGGTCTTAGCATCACCAAGTCCTCCAAATATCTGTGCAACAAATCCTCTCAGCTGACCACGGTGATAAATCTCTCTCTTTCATGGTAAGGTGCCTATTTCTTGCATCAACATGTTCAATCCCAATCTTTCTATGGAGGGAGCTTTTCAGTAAAGTTCAGTAATCTGGCTGTTAAGTACTTGCACAAGAAAACAGGCTGGACATCTGGTAATATCATGAATTAATGGGAGGAGGAGGAAATAATTACCAGACTTTGAGGGGCACAGAAATGCCACAATATAAACATGGGTAAAGCAGTGCACAAAAAGTTAAGAA